TTCATTGTGTTTATTATCCATCAGATATTCAAACCTACAGGCATAGAGCCTTCATAAAGTTTGTCATGGTAAGTTTGCAGTTTAGATTTCCCAGGGAGCAGCAAGCGTTTGCTACCTAATCAGATAGAACCAAACCCTTCACTTAGGATTCAGCTTTGGTTGTGCAAGCTCCGAGTCGGGCCGCAGGGCGCCGGCAGGGGTTGGTTTGGGGCAGCAAACACAGCCAGGTGCCGATGCCAGCAGGGGTTGGGGCAGCCACCAGTGTTTTTGCGGGAAGGAGACAAGTTTAACGAGATTAACCCACTTGGAGCATCAGCGCTCTCGTCACTTCCTCACATCAGTGGTCAAAAGGTTTTTTAAAAAAAGAAAAAAAGACCCAACCAGCCACAGGAATGAGGAAGTAGCCGAGTGACTTGTGTGCTACAAAGTGACCTGATTTAGTCCCCTGACCTGATTCTGTTTCCCAGCAGTAAGCAGTGTATTTGCAGGAGCACTGCCCGCACTGCCCTTTCTGAAAGAAGTGAAAGGCTTTGTGCTTTAAACATCTAAGCAATTTATAAAGACTACGAACCATTGCCTTTTTGGTTTGTGTTTTTTTTATTTTCCCCCATAATAAAACCAGTAATATTCCCCCATAATATTTTCCCCCATAATAAAACCAAATATGATTGTAAATTAGTTTAGGGTTAAAGCTTTTATTTCCTAATCTGCCTGTTCATTGCCCTGCCTGGCTGCTCTGCAGCGTCCCGCAATGCCCCTGCCCAGGAAGGGATCTGGGGCGGCTGCGCTGAGGCCGGGGCCTCTCTGTCCCCTCTGACGTGTCCCTGTGTCCCGTGACAAAGGGACAGGGAAGCAGATTTTGGAAAAGGAAAGGGAGAGAAGGTCTTTCAGCCAGGAATTTCAGCTGTGTTCCTCTCCGGGGTGCATCAGGAGTATAAAGGAGCAAAGCGCTGTTTTCTGTGAGCCCGAAGGTTAATGAACATTAATAGGGCTACGGTGACCCGAGCGAGGTGGCTAAGGCAAATGCAAAGAGCAGGGAGTTTGTGTGGGGCAGACGTTCTCCATGGTGCCCTGAGTGCAGAAAAAAAGAAAGGCAGAATAAAGGGAGAACCTCATGGCTTCTGAGTGGGAATCATGTTTTGATTCCCTTTCTCCTCCTTTTTGCTCCCCAAATATCACTGAACTCCCTGTCAGGACTTTTGGGAATTCTGTTTCCTCCAAACAAAGTTCTTATTCTTCAGTTCTCCAAACAGGTTCTTATTTAGTTATCATTTATTCAGACGATCACTCCTCTGCCCAACAGAGACTACTCCTTTCCAAGTTGCGTGCACTGAAATGTGTTTGTATTTACAGGAAACGATTTCAGACCGGTCAGTGTTTATAAAGAAAGCTGAGCATCCCAGATTTTCTTAGTGCTGCTCCTCAGCAAAGAAATAATACATTTTTTATTCAGCCTGCTTCCCAAAAGGTTAAGAACGGGATATACAAGATAATTTTAAAGAAGGGTTTTTGAAGCATTGCGACATGTTTAAAAAAGCTACAGTATTGATATTTCGATTTTGAAAATAGGAAATGGTCAAAACCCAAAGCTTTAAAGATATTTTAAGAATTTGCATGTTATGTAAGGATGCTTTTATGTAAAGCCATGTGGTAG